TCATCCCAGTACCGGAGAAGCTTGTGAACAGCGACATAATGCTGTCCCCTCATACTGTAGTCCGATACTCGTATGTTGTCTGGCTGCTGGGAACCCCAGTTATCGTACGTAAAACCTGTTCCGTCGGCAGACCACACAAATTTCCCTTCTTGTGCAACATCGTTTAGACCAATCCAAAACTGCAAAATTTTAGTGTTAAGAAATAAATTTTAAATTTGAATGAACATTGAATCACACAATACTAGAACAGCATTATGTTTACAAAAAGAATGAAGAATCAGCTGTAAACAAACCCAGTTGTCATCACTGTAATATTGTCTCATGCTTCCCATATCAATAGGGTCTGCCTGGAACATGGTCCTGGTGGCATCAAAGTTCTGCTTCAGGGAATTTATCTTAGCGAGGGTCATTTGACGCTGCTCACATTTAGTTTTGGCATCATTCCAGGTCATGCGCTCTTTGTATGCATAATACCGATTAACTGAAAGGATGGACACATGATTACATATTATATTATGCAATAACGGCTGTTTTTATCAAACCTTTAGTCAATCTTGAAGTAGAACAATTTCTAAATTATCGTGATGATTTATTGATTCCAACAACTTTCTGTGTCACTTACTGGCACATTCTGGAGGGGGAGAGTTCATTTTAACTTCTGTGGTGCTGTCTAACTGTGCCTTCAGTACATTCCAGGACTCAGTTTGGTTCGTGAGCATCTCCTCAAGCTCTTCGTTCATACTTATATCAGGTTTTATAAATTCGTGTTCCTCACACATGCATACAAACTCTCGCTGAAGGAGGTTTTTATAAATACTTCAAATTCTAAAGGAGCTATCAACTCATTTCCATCAGTTTATATGAATATCATAGAGCCGTGGGAGCAGTTTATATTGTACCATATTCAGTGCAAAAATCTTACCAGTCTAGTCGCAAAACTATCGTCCCAGCCGCCAGTCACTTTGCTAATAGATGCATAATGCTGCCCATCAGTAGTGGTTCCTTCCAAGAAATCTGGAAGATAAATAGTTCAGGGAGTCTTCACAGACCAACAATTTATCTTTAATACCGCAACTTAAATTGTATGGAGTATCAACTAAACACTTTAAAACTGTTGACAAAAGAGTTGAAGATCGCACAAACCGTCCACAAGGTTGTCGGGTTGAGACTTCTCCCAGTTGGAGAAGTAAACACCTTTTCCTCGTGTCCATCTCCAAGTGCCCTCCAAATAATTGTCTGATGCCCCAATCCACGCCTGAGAGGGATTATTTAGTAACAACATTCAAGACTCTCAATTCAAAAAGAATGTAAAATCTCATATAGATGTTCCTCTTATCGATACTAAGATAAAAATGACACCAATCCAAGAGGCATAATACCAAATCAAGATTCATAGCTAATCCATCATTTACCCAGTTCCGATTGAGGTAGGGATGACTGAGTCCCAGATCATCCAAGGGCGACTTTTCTCTACCGAGTTTAACAATAGCCACATTCTCTTCAGGATTCAGGGAGTGTGCAAGTGTCATACCTCCATAAACACAGTATTCAGTTGCTTGGTCCCATGTTACTTTGGTATCAGAATAGACGAAATGCTCTGAAATAAGTATGGAGTTGAAACTTTGTAAAACGCAGAATTTACACTGTCTCCTGCAATTTAATAGTTGGTTGTCAGACGTGGAAAATACATGATCTGTAATCGGAGGACCTTGTTGGTAATTGGTATTCCTACCTGTGTGGGAGCAGATAAAGGGGTGCTCTTTGTCAGCGAATGTGTCGTCCCACTTGCCGTGCTTACCCAGCCTAATGTTACTCTGGTACACGCCATTTTGAGCAGTACGTCCTGAGACAAAATAAAGTAGCTAACATATTTATACAATACCGGCTTAATCACGTTGTTGACATAATTTATATTATACTAAAAAAACAGAGAACAGCTAATTTGTCATTATAATTTAGGTACCCTAGGTTTAACGCTAATTGAAGTCCAAGCTTTAAAATTGTTAAAGTTTAGCAGACTCCTGAGTAACCTACCGTCTGGTTGACCATTTTCCCATGAAGTGTAAGTAATTGGGTTCCCATCATGATCCCGCCATACACCATTGATTAGTGTTTGACCGATCCATGTCCAGTCATTCTTACGGTGATAAGAAACCTGCAGAGATTGAAATTATTCTTAGATTAAGCTTCTCTCGGAGTATCGCCTATTGTCCAACTATAGTGGCTGGATAGTCATAGAGGCTCGAAAGTTTTTGAACACATTTCGGTGTACTGACCTTGAGTTTGTAACCGAAAGCGTGCTGCAGCAGACTCGACAGTGCGTCATTGTCCGCACTGTTCCTTACAACAGCAACACGTCCTCTCCCATCAGCAGAGTTCCGGTCCCTCAGTTGGGAACACTTTGCTGCTGCATCACTGTACGTCATCGGTTCCAGGTACAGGATGTATTTACAGTCTGAGAACAGTTTTATTAAGTGAGATTTTGTTCTAACTTCTACTAAGTTAGTGGTGCCGATCACGTCATGGTGAGTGGTTTTGACTCATGGCACTGAATTTTGGTTAAACTGATTATTAAATTCATCAGGAGCTTTTGGGGGTTAAGTTAACGAAAATTGCAACAAGTAATTCGACATTCAGACAGAAAATCATTTGACTGTCATTGTCAATCTGTTAGATTTGCATCCGAAATCATTTATCTTTGCCTAATATGGTTTCTTACTTGCAATTGAGTCTGATGACACGATGAACTTCGCCATAGCCGCGCCTTCTGCATGTTGTCTGGCGGGGTTAGATTATAATTTGACATTTCAAATATTTACATGTCCACGAATGATGTAATACAGAAACATGTTGAAGTTCAATTTGTCAAAAAATCTCATATTTTTACTAAATTGGGTATGTATATTCACTACAGCTGTATATCTACGTCTACAATTCTGTTCAGCGATCTACAACCCTACCTTTTAATGTCAATCCCGCTCATATCAGCCATCTGACCGACCACCCATCCCAGGACGCTGATGCCCAGGAGGAGTGTGAGGCTCCTGTGATGCATGCTCTTTCTAGCCTGCTATCATGGATACTCTGACGAATATAATGGTTTCAACATATATTTCAGTGGGTTAGAAGATATGGTTTAAGTAAGTTTTGCTAAGAACATGATAAATGATAATCGACAAGCAAGCCACGACAAGCTTATTGTCTGTTGAATGCAACATGTAATTTATCAGAATCGTGCAGGGGAAAGCGAACATTCGATATTGGTATCAGCAGGTAATTATAAAAGCTATTGGGATATGATTAAACAGCGTGTTTGCAAGTATAATGTGGTGCACGCCTGACTGTAAAGTAAAGCAGTTACTCGGGTACAGGAAGCGGCAGATGGTACAAGTGGACTACAAATTGGGTTTTCCTGAGCCAACGTATGGAAATATTGGCGCAAGCTGCACTACTGCAAATTAAATTAGGGTAAGAAGCAAGGATTTAAGAATCGATATTCTCTATTTCATTAACGATAGTGCAAAACTGTACGTGTGTTCCGAAGCGAAATATTGTTCTTTTTAAAACTGCTGCAGCTCATGTTATTATGCATATTGCTTCCACTGGAAGTTCCTGTCACATACCTTTAGTTTTGGTAATTAAATCTAAAGCAACTGACAAGGGTTCAGCTCATACTGTTTTACACTCCTGACTCGCTTAACCAACTGAACGAAAGAAAATTCATGATTTGAAATAAATTATAGTAAGAAACAAATACATTTCCATTGAAACATAAAACAATCGACAGAGGTCTAGATGGGAGTGTTAAACTCTAACAAGATTTAGATGTAAAATCAACTGCATGGCAGTGCATGAGTGTGTTTGTTTACAATAGTTAAGCAAGGTCGTGACAACTGGTTATTAATAGATCATCCAACATCATTAAGGATTAAATTATTAAGAAAACAAACCGGCTTAACCACCTTGCTATCTACAATCCCACAAGATAATTAGTCATAGCGACTTCACAGATTAATTCTGTGCTAAACAGGGCCAAAAGTCGAATGTAAATGCCAAAAGGAAAGGTCGGAGGTGTGAAACAACATAAGTTGGTATTACAAATTCCTAAGATAGATACGTTTTGCAGTGATTAAACATTTTATTGACTTGCTGTTGCTGTTGCAGGTAAAACATCTCTAAACATTTAAGCCGGCATAACGAGGCCCTTGGGTAAATTATTCTTGGAGTAATTGAACAGTTTTGATAGTATTACTACGGGTATTGCTCGACAGAATGACACGTACCATAAGTTATACGACCCCATAAAGTAAACAAGCATGAGGTTATGTAGCGTTATTAGTCACGGCGTGCACCTTACATCCTGCAGGTGGTGCGGCTTCTCTCACGTGACCAGAATTTAATCACGTGGTTTCCAGGGAGACGAGCAGGCCCAATGACTTTTCAGGAGATTTAGAACGTGCAGCTGGGGGATTGGCCACGTGAAGCGTGTTACTGTTAACTTTGAGGGCGGACGTAGCGGTCCGGTTTATTCGTAAAACAAACAATTTAGTGCAATGTACCTCTAGTTCTACTGAAACACGCCTGACTTTTAATCATTATGCTTAAATACACTTTACTAGAAGTAGAAGTACACCGGAAGCTTGACGAGGAATATATTTATTTTTACCTTACAACGCTATTATACCTTTGTTAAAAAATCTTCAATTTTCAATCATGCTACAATATATGAATGCGGATGGGTAAAATAAGGTATCCAATCATATTTATAAATGCCCGACAATCGCCATGTACAATGTGCATGTTAAGCATTTTTGTTGGAATGGACCTAAAGAATAATTTCCTTTTGTTAAATTGTAGCATTCCAGAATTCCCTTCGTTTGTCTCAAAATCAAGAAAGTCATCGATTATTTCGATATGATCTATTTAATTTTGTATCAATGCACTTTTGATGGAATAGCCTTTGATGACCGACAATTTTCTCACAAAATGAACCAAACTGATACTTAAAAAGAAAATGTATATTACTCAATTACAATACACTTAAATAATTAGAGGTATAAACATTTATCGCATGATATTTTTATCCCATTGTACCCATACAGAATTTAAAAATGCTTCGATGAAAAAAAATTTCGTCCCCTACAAGGTCACACATTGCAAAGATTCCCAATTCAATTTTTGTCAGTTTTTATCAGTTTTAACAGTTATCTAACATAAAGTTATTTAAAATCTGTCATACAAAAAAAACTTTGTGAGCTTTTGAAACTAAAGTAAAGTCCATGGTGCTACTCCTCTCTTGTGCTGCCAGAGCACCATTTCTTTTGTGCGTCTGACAAATCATAAAAGCATAATCAACCGTTTTCAATTCCGTTCCATAATTGTTCCATACAACCTAAATGTCCTAGATTACCAAAATCGATAACCATCGATGTCTACTGAATAAATTTACACATAAAACTAAAAGGAACGAAATAATAATTTTGGAGGGTCGGTTACAGGAGGAGCAACCTTTGGCGGGAACCGTAGGAGTTACATTGTATTCCAGAGTTTTAGGACGAGTCGGCACGCTCTCAGTCGATAACTTGTCGTCCTTCTCGTCTGCTAAATAATGGTCATATTTGTAATGGAATATTCTTGAACTTAACAATCATAAAACATGTTAAAAGTTATTTACTTTCCTAAAGATAAAGGCAGGATATACCGTACCTCGGTAGGATCTGTATCTAAGATTAAAGTTTTTAAGATCGCTGATAGCACGTTGCGCGGTGAAGTGGATGAAACTGTTGTCCTCAACCTCGGGGTTCAGCTCCTGACTCTCCTGAAATTGTTCAATAACAGGAAGGTAATTGGGATTTGGGAGCAATCTCATATGTCATCCTTAGTATCAAAAAGACTACGTTTAGTGGCAACAATCATATTGGAGACCATCACTGATATTATATTACTGATATTATATCACTGATGGTTGTCTCTAGATTAACTCGAACCTGGTTAAAATAGGTGAGATTTCTTGTATAGCTTGCGACGTGAGTACCATTCCAACATGGAAAAGAGTCACTTTCAGCAGCAAGATCAAGTCCTCTACAGAACTTTGCCTGGAGATCATCGAACATGGCACTAAACATGTCCTGATAGAGAGGATGAGAGTCCACTGAACCACCGCCATCTGATAGCTGGTGAGTGAAGCGATCAAACTCAGAAATTTTTCGACAAGAATGATAAATCAAAATTATTCTAGATCGCAAACTTTAAAACTAAATCTAACCTTTCATGTAACAAATAACAATTAATTAATTGAATAGACTTAGACACAGCAACATCATAACTTTTTTGTTCCTAAAACAGAGGAGTAAATCTGGTACAGTAAAACCTCTCTATACCGGGCCCCTTTATACCGGGTACCTCAATATACTGTACCTCTTTGTTTCCTCCAAATTGTCGGTAAATCAGCCCGTGTTTTAATATTTCACGAAAGTAATGTGATTTCTCGCTGCTCACATCGCATTTTGGAGCCCGTTATAAACAGGTTTGACTGTATTAGAGAGTGAAACTGGTACTGGTAGTAAAAAGTAATTACCCTCCAATAGTTGCGGGGTGTGCGTGATATGGCATTGCTGCTTGACCGGTTAATATTGCAATTCTCACTGAGATTGTGATAATCCAGAGTGAAGCTGTCATAGAGTTTCTGTGATATGTTCTCATCAAGAAGCGTATCACTTTTCTTGTTCAAGCTAAAATCAAGGGAATCCATCGTTTTCAGCCACTCGTACCAGGTTGGCTGCAACGAGGAAGTATTACACAAAAAGAAGAGAATTCTATGAATATTGGTAAAAATAAATGCAATGAAAGAAGTCGACGTGTCCTATAATTCATAGGGAGGCACTTTTATAAAGATAAACTTATAAAAGGAGCACTACATACCAATAGGGGTAGGAGAGGCTTCATACAGCCGTTAACCACATTAGAGCACAGTGAACGACATGTCTTGAAGTTAGCACTACCGACCTCACATTGGTTGCACCCTATCGTCATTACTGCAAAGATATTTATCAGGTTGATAAACTTATCTAACTAAGATGAAGAAATCAGGAAATATAACTCTAATGGAAGTCGCCTGATCGTGAAGCTTATTAGATAGATAAATTCTGGTCATAATAATTCTAGGCTTGGTCCTAAACTCGTTGATCATGAATCATACCTGACGATCTGGTGACAGCCTCCACACATTTGGGAGAAACTTTCTGGTTCTGAAGAGCGTCCATTAGTTTGATAGCGAGGTATATTCCCTCCTGCAGAGCTGCTAACCTCTCTAGATACTCCTTTAGATACAACTCAAATGTCTGAGCAAACCTCTTAGCGGCGTAAAAGCATTTTTCTGAAACAAAACTGAGTTAGATAGTAAACACTATAAGGAGACTGATAGTACCGGAAATATTAACGTGTACAACATCTCTACGAGACAAGTTTTGAAATTTTTGTAATATAAACAAATGTGCTAATTATCCTATAAATCAAAGGGTGCTATAAACCACCATGTTCACTTTCCATACCTTGTATAAATGGCACTTCAAACATTTCCCTCCGTTGCAGATAAATCCTCAATTGCTCCTTTATAATCTGTTCCATTAACGAGTTATCGCTTCCAAATCTCTGAATGTATTTAATAACATATTCCCGTAGGTCTGGGTCGAGAACCTTTCCGATTTCGCTTTTATAATGCAAAACAATGTCATCTAGTGCGTACTTGTAACCTTGAAGAGAATCCGTGTATAGATACCTGAGAAGGAGAAAGACGTTACATACCTTACTCGGGATTATTATGACCGGGATAAAGTGGCGGGTTTAGGGTAATTTCGCCATATTTTTCCCGAACCACATTTTCACCGGTCGTTAATAAACCCGCCGTCTCAGCTTTTAGGGTTCCCAAGGGGTATGGGTGCTCATATTTTAATCGTTGTCTTATATTCACTAAAGAAGACTATTGGGACACTTGTTGTAGGTTTTTCGACTTCATTTGGCTAAAATTGCAAAAAATTCACCTTTTTGCCCAATTCTTGTCATATATCCTTATTGTCAAAGTTGATTTAAATAGGCCAATTTTTAATTTCTTAGGTATTGACTATCTCTACATAATGAAATAGGACTCAAAGTAAAAGTAACAATTAAATTAAAACTTGAATTAATTAAAACTGTCAATAACATGAATCAGTTTCATCCAGATGAAGATAACGAAGATTATTACAACTTATTGGAAGACTAAACAGCTCTCCCTTTATCTTAATATCGATCTGGTTGTTACGCTTCTAATGTTAAAAATTATTTTCCATCTAGTTTGATTAACCACGAGTCATTATTTCTGTCTACTTTCAACAATTATTGATAATTTGACTTGTTTCACAAGTTTTAGCAATGCGAAAATTTCTAAACTTGCTTATCTCTAATAAGGAAATTTACATCTGAGACAAAATTTTTGAATCTAAAATTGAAAGGTTGGACACCGGTAAAATGGCGACCGGTAAAATGTGGTGGGTTTTGAGCAATTTCGCCATATTTTTCCCGAACCATATTTTAACCGGTCGTTAATAAACCCGTCGTAATAATCCCGAGTAAGGTAGTTACAATTGTGAAAGAAATATAAATAAGTATCGTCACCTATTCGGTGCATTATAATCGAGTAATATCGGTTTACTCTAAATCCAAGAATTCTTTCATGAAGAATCGTTTGATAACTGTAGACTTTCATCACTGACGATACAAGCTTATATAAAAGCCTATCTTATAGATGATGCCTGAGACGGAATGGATAGTTAAAGAAAGCAACATACTGTCTGAAAAGAGTGGAGGACGTTAGAGCTAGAGCTATCTCCTTATCAAACGAGCAACACGTGGCAGAGTAGACCGTGTAAGTGGAACTGGTGATGTCTGTACTGCGGTGACACAAACTCGTTTCTTTATCTGAAGTGGACAAAGGTAAAGGAATTTCAGATATTTATATTAAACGTGGAGTCCTCAAGCTCTAGATCTAGATATGGTAGATATTTGTATATTTAAGGATTCATTCTGAGGAGGGTATTCATATTGAAGGTTAAAGAAATAATGTTCGGGCATTGAATAATTCTTAACTATAACTGCCCCAACAAACAACATCAAGATACAAATCTTACTTCGTAAAATCTGATACATGGGTGTAGACTTTATGGAATCCTTTATGCGGTTATAAACAGCATCAACTGCTGTGCAGTCCATCTCAGTTGAAGAAGTACCTGGTTTCAGAACATTAAATACTACAAACTAGTAAGGTTGCTATTTTAGATTCAACTATTTAAAACAGCTTTTAAAGAGATCATAAAATTCAAAATCAGATACTACAATTAAACTACAAACCTTTGAATAGATCAGAGAATATAGCAAGGAGAACTAGAAGGACGCAGGGCATGACACCGCATACTGCACCATATTATGAAGAGGAAACCAGCATACAACCTCCCTGCAGCAACCTTTATTGCCCTCCTAGTGGAGTTTTGGTAACAATTTGAGAAATGAAACTGTAGCTGGGTAAATACGAATCCCTTCCTGAACCTATGGAAGATTCATGATAATAAACAGAATAGCTTCGATGGTGAAATTTTTACATCTTCGACCATGGCTGTTGTAACATTTCAGGTCCGGCATGCTTTTGAAATAAATTAAATGAAATGATTCGCAAACAAGACAAATTTTAATTTAAATGTATAATGTATATAAATGAAAAATTAAGTCTTGACTCTTGAACCTTCTATACGTTCAAGGGAAAACGACTAAAAAATATTAAACAGGTGCGAGTAGGTGATGCGTGAAAGAACAATTTGATAATTAACAGCGATTGTAAAATTGTATTATTTGCAGTTATTTGCAACAGGATTAATTTAAAATTTAGTCTAGTAGAAAATTAATCTATAAAAAATTTAGTCCATAGAATTAGACAAGACAATGTATAAGAAAACCGTCACTCAAAAAATCACAATTTCGCTAGTTGTTTTTAAGAAATGTAATGAAGTTGAAAGTATATGGTGTGAGAAAAAATGTCCGATTGAGTTTATACTAATACATGCAAGTGCTAATTGCTATCGGAATAATTATCAGAGCGTACTGCTGCTGATTTTGAACTATTCGAACTATATGCCTATTAACGAATGCAATTACAACGGGTACAATATTTATTCGAAATATTATAACATCGTGTTAGTAGGTTATAAACCTACAATATACCATAAAACTGACGCCAATTGTCTAATTTAGCAGCATTAAATGAGGCATGAAACCCTATAAATGTTTGGGTATGGAAATACCTGTATGTTAACGACCATATAAGCATGGTGTTAATTCATTTTTGAAACATATGTGCGGGAATAGATTTTAATATGACTGGATGAATTAGGTAGTAAGAAGGAAATAAGAAAACTTCCATAGTAAGTGACCCCTCCGTGGAAATTAAAACTTATGACAGCCTCAGGATAATTTCAATGTAGCTGGCAAAGCATTTCAACGGCACAAAAACTTGCCAGAATATTAAATACCCACAAGTAATTAGAAAGCCCGAGAATAATACCGAAACATATCGCTACCAAGAAGTTTCTGTGTCTCTTTATAATAAGACAAACCACAAATTAAGTCACTAAATGGAGTAAATTTAGTGGAAACAAGGTAATCATTGAATTGCAATGAAAACAAAGAAGAATTGTTCAGTAAATTAGTGAAAGTACTCTTGAAAGGTGGAAGAAGACCCTAATCATCAATTACGCTATCCAGCTGCAACAGCTGTACACAAAGAAGATGTGACACTGTTTCTATATTTATAAATTCACGCAATACTGCAATTCAACGGCCACGGGTGCAGGTGTAGGAAAACAGTGATATTATACAGTGTCACATCACTTCCAGTACTGTACACTAATTGTTCCGACATCGGTACTTGTTCGACTGAAAATGAAGTGCAGGTACATTCTTACAGTTGGTATATGAAGTGCCAAAGATCAAAGGCATGAATATCATTCAGTTGTTGTCACGTTGTGTATCAACTCCAATTCTGAAGGTGAGAATACACTAGGTTAATGTTTGGCTCCACGAAGAAACCCTCTTAAAAGGACCAATTTCTCAATTCTTATTTTGAGATTGAAATTTTAATTTCCGACTGAATTTCGAATGATTGTCTAGTAAAGGCGAAGGTTCTGAAAATATGAAAGTTTTAGGCTAGTCGCTTCTGCTTGGTACGATGATGGATCACAAGTAAGTAGCATTCAGAGTTTGTAGTAATCCCTCTCACTGGAAGTTCGAAGCACTGGTAGTGATGCTAAAGATACTTTTACTTTTTGATGAAACTTTTAAAGTAGCCAGCTGTAGAACAAACTAAAAAGGAAAACCGAGATTTTGAGAGACCCCCGACGCGGGTTTCAAATGTCTGTCTAAAATGTATATTAAAATCAATCAAGCCCAAAACTAGGGTTCATTAAAAAACGAACAATATCAAAAATATCTCGCAATTTGTCAAAAGCAGATTAGACATTTTCTTTTTTCCGCAAATCAATCTATAAATGTCACCTCAATAATAAAATCAAATTAGCTTATCAACTGAAGCGCCAAAATGAATTCATGCATAAAATTGCATATTATTACGAACCATTCGAAGTGAAAATATACGATTGAAACCAAATGATATTATCACATTAACACTTTAAAGCGAATAATCGATACAGCATCAGCGGCACTAGGAAAAAGAAGAATAATACCATATGTTTAGAATATATTAGCGCAGTTTATAAATCTAGAATCGGTGTTACTCATAACTAGACTTTACAGTTTCCAATTAAAATGCCAATTAAGTATACCTTACATCAGCTAACGTTTAATTAGCTGGTCACCCTTTAATTTGGGAGCGTATTATGCGTGCCGTCCAAAACCGATGAAGGAGTCTATGTGAGGATTTTAATTGGAATAGTGCGGTGTCCGGCTTATAGCGAGGGTTGGAGAATATTTGTCCTCACTGCTTCCGGATCAGGTGGTATGAACACCTGATGATCAGAGAAAGTACGGTACTACTAGGTCGACAGGCCGGCGACTAAGATAATGCAGAATCACGGAAGTCATGTTGAACTATGCGTGTCGATTTTTGTAACTATAAAAATAGAAGCTGGAAGCGTAATTTAAATTAGTAAGAATTCGCAGAATAAACAGGGAATAATAATTAGAAATAAATCCATATTATTATAAACATCTTTTTTAGTCAAGGAAACAGATAATTGAACTGTTCGTTTAAAGACCGCAACGAGACATATAAAAGGCCGACAAGTTTTTAATTAGTCAGGATGATCAAAAATATAACAAAACTTTCGCAAATATACACCATGTTTTAAACGCCGATCTATAAACAGTCAGTAATACATTCAGGATTGAAAACGCTGAGGATATTTGCTCAATTATCCGTTAATTACTACCAGGAAAATTGAAATCTCATTAACCAGAGCAGCTGTTGCTTTCAGCGTGATTTGTTCCAACTAAAAATAAAAACGGAGATTGTCCACCATAATCAGCCGTCTAATCTATGAAACAGATTGATAGAGTTAAGAAATCAAACATTGTCAATACCATTTTAAGATACGTGAGAGTGATTTAACGCGTTACACTTCCAAGAAACAGCCGATGAATACCACGAAATCGTACATGATCAGGAAATTGTCAGATTATCAAATTAAAGCTGAGAACAATTTCTCGAAGAGTGAAGTTTAGTATGCTAAATTAAGAAGATTTGTGATGATTGATGCAAATTTTCCTGAGGGTAATGACGTGATTTTATGATTGGCAAGGAATTTGTGATATCTATCCTTCGTCATTATAGTGATAGCGGTGATTTCTTCATCCACAATTGGATATGACATCATCAGTAGAGTTTGTCACGAAAATTGCTGAAGAGAAAAAAAGATTCAGACTTTTGACGGTTTTACTGTTATTAATCATGAGCACAAAAAAATTGTACCACGCAACTCAGTATATAAACTACACATAGTATAAAATAAATTTCCAATTCACTATAAATTCCATGAATATTTCCACGCCGAGTATTCACAACATTAATTTCTTACCCGAACAAGGTTATAGACAACAGCTCACAACAGCTTGCAGCTATCTACACCTTCATTATTATCAGTTGCAGTTATAACGACCTTTTAGTGAATATTTGGGCTGTAAATATCCACTTAAAGAGCTGCAGTTTGTAAGGATTAAGTTTGAGTTTGATCCAGACTCCAGGTGTAAGCTCACCACACGGTGCGTGGGTTCCGTATAGAGCAATAATACACAACAGTATGTGTACGATGTGTTCCAATAGTTAATGTAGACAATAATGTGATTGATTGAATGGTTGTTTGATAAGTTGTGGAGTCCTGACGAAGTGGTGATATGACCCACTACGTTAACCGTTCACTCTCCCTCTTTCTGTTAGTTCTTGCCTTTGAGGGGGGGTTCTGCCTTAATAAGGAGACATGTGGTAAGTTGTAAATATGTCAGGACCAAGTTCTTCTATTGAAATATGATTTAACTGTCTTTAACCGTACTAGACTGAAGCTAAGTTTTGGTATGATACTGGTGCAGTAAAGATTATTGATTTCAAAAAATTGATTGAAAGAACATTAAGTTTAAATGATTCCAAGCTTCTTGTTTTTTTTGGTTTTTTTGTTTTGTAATAAGGTTTCAGAATTTGGGAATTAAGAGCCGGCAAATTGAAGCGTTCTGTCACCTTTGTTGAATTCTTCTTTAATACGGCAGGAACGGTGACGGAGGGGGCTGTCAAGAAGGATGCAGAGTGCGTAAAGGTGGATTTTTATCATACTCATCTCGAGACTCTAACTTGTGAGTTTTATTATTTGAACATATTATCTTCGATTAAAATTGCATACGTGTCAATAACTGTCACTTTACAATTTACAAAGTTTATTTTTAACCCGATTGAACTAAACTGTTTCCATTAAATAGGAGTCTTATTAAGCCTTTATTTCAGTTATAATAATGATATGAACTCAGGTAAAAACACAACGTCAACTGAACTGTGTTGGAGACCATGTGACAATGCGAGCTACTTGACAGACAAATACATCACCTTTTCCAATATACTGTCGCCTACTTATGTAAGTCAGATGTTAGATTCGATTAAATCTAAGTTATCTTATAAATTTAAGTTATCTTCTAACTTTAACTTATCATCTGAATTTATGTTATCTTCCTAATTTAAGTTATCTTCATGAAAACTTAATGTATCTTCTGAATTTAAGCATCTTCTAAGTTTCGTAATATTTACTGAATTACTTAGTGTTGTCGTGAAAAATGCAATATAACCAAAAGAGAATACTACTATCCACAGAACAAAACCAAGTTGTCGTACGACTTGAAGAAGCTGAACATTATTTACAGTATGGGGGAATCATTCATGTTCGCACTGCAGAAGACATCTCTGTTTGGTGAGACTAAGTGCATTTAAAGTAACTCCGTGTAACTTCCTCTCCGACTGCTAAGTGTTTTAAAAAGAGGATATTATTTAGTTGCAAGTTGAAGTCGGCTAACACGAATATTTAGCCAGAGAGAAAATAAAGATGTTAGAAAGGGACTTTAACATTCATTTGAGATTATTTCAGATTTGATGGAAAAAATAATAACTGAGAAATGGTTTGAGGATGGCTACACACAGGGCAGAATTCTACAGGTAAGGCTGTAATACATTTAAAATATGTATAATAATTTATTAATAAAGCTGTCATAGTGTCGACCATAATTTTCCATTCTGTAAAAGTTGGACAATGGACACCGTATGATCTAGTAACATTTACTGTATTACTTTTTACTGTTATACTATTTCTCCATTTATCAAGATATTACCTCTAGGTGGTTGAAGCAGAGCTACCTTGGTTTATTGTGATAGGATTCCTCTTGTTCCTGGTTATCGGTCTCACCTTGTTCGTTACTTTCTCAATGTTAGACGGGGTAAGTTCCTTCTCTCAATTAAGTTCTGATACATTCAACTCACTGATAACTTATACTGAACGACAAATTTGAATTTAAAATAGATATTATGTGTTGGTAATCTGGCTTGTAGTTTGTTAACTATTTCAGCTTTTTGGCTGGACTGATGGCACTAAAAGACAGAAGATGGACCCCTCCAACGGTACTTGGGTTAACTTCTATGGATTCCTTATCATAATCTTCACCATTATGGTTTTGTAAGTTTCTGTGGGCCAAGATATACCCTTCAAGTTTTTCTTATAGCCTGACGGCTGACAGTAATTAGAAACTCTTCCCAATGAACCCTCCCTTAATTTATCAACATCTTATCGAGTTATTCCCGATCCATGACTCAAAGTGCCGAAGGCACATAAGAGTCAAGGACAAGGGTTAGCGAACGAGGGTATTTTGTATATGGCAGCTTTGCGACCGTGCGTGCCTGCGAGCGTACGTGCCCTATTAATTATAACTTTGCGGAGTTTGTCACTCCGCAAAGTTATTTTGCGCAATATTCTGAAATCTAAATTAAATTTTGCACAGATCCGTGTCATATCAGGTTGCAGAAACAATAAACATATGGTTAGTGTTACATAGAAATGTATACGATTTTCAAATTTAATATAGAATTAACTGGGCGGCGCTCGGCCAATCGCTCGGCCATATCTGCATGCTAATAAAGTATAAACAATAAAGCCTGGGGTCCCCAGGTTGTATGGAATATGATAAATACGCCATCATGATCGGGAAATTGAGCGGCCATCCACAAAAGAAAAGCGGCTGCATTTCTTGTTATGTTTGGGAATCCAAACATTGTTGTGCTCTGAGTCTCCTGTTTCACGTGTAGGTGTAGCTGTCTGCTCTGTTTTGTGGGCAACGTCCTGGTTACTGAAAACAAGGGTCAAGCAGCTCTTCAGCTACAGTTGGATTATAATTGGAGTATGGCTTACGAGGAACAAGGAGCTCAGGTATGGAGGGTATGGAGGGTATGGAGGGTATGATGGGTATGGAGGGCATGGAGGGTATGAATGGTATGGAGGGTATGGAGGGTATAGAGGGTATAGAGGGTATGGACTATGGAGGGTATGGAGGGTATGGAGAGTTTGGAGGGTATGGAGGGTATGGAGGGTATGGAGGGTATGGAGGGTATGGAGGGTATGGAGGGTATGGAGGTTATGGAGGGTATGGAGGGTATGGAGGGTATGGAGGGTATGGAGGGTATGGAGGGTATGGAGGGTATGGTGGGTATGGAGGGTATGGAGGGTATGGAGGGTATGGAGGGTATGGAGGGTATGGAGGGTATAGAGGGAATGAACTATGGAGGGTATGGAGAGTATGGAGGGTATGGACTATGGAGGGTATGGAGGGTATGGAGGGTATGGAGGGTATGGAGGGTATGGAGGGTATGGAGGTTATAGAGGGTATGGAGGGTATGGAGGGTATGGAGGGTATGGAGGGTATGGAGGGTATGGAGGGTATGGAGGGTATGGAGGGTATGGAGGGTATGGAGGGTATGGAGGGTATGGAGGGTATGGAGGGTATGGAGGGTATGGAGGGTATGGAGGGTATGGAGGGTATGGAGGGTATGGAGGGTATGGAGGGTATGGAGGGTATGGAGGGTATGGAGGGTATGGAGGGTATGGAGGGTATGGAGGGTATGTAGGGTATGGATGGTATGGAGGGTATGGAGCGTATGGAGGGTATGGAGGATATGGAGGTTATGGAGCGTATGGAGGGTATGCCCGTATGGAGGGTTAAGTAAAACCGTGCTGTAAATTAATCAAATAATGAAATTTGAAATAAATACAGATTGTTTTTTTGCATTCTTAACATGTTTTTATTTCAGCAATTGAGTGAATTCATATATGAATTCAACGATCAACTTTTGCCAAAGTTGGTAGAATGGTATAACGGTAAGAAAATAAAGGATCAGAACAAATAAAAATTATATCTTCATCATTCGGTGCTGAAACTTTAATTCAGGATTCAGGCTACTAGAGCTGTAAATCCAAATTTATTATAATTTATTATTTTCAGAGGCAATACCAACAGCAGTGAGCAGAATACAAGCTGTCACAACAGCTGATCTAGCAATATTACACACGGAGGTGGCAACTCTTAATACACGTACGTTTAATTTTGATATTTTGATTGACGATATTAATTATTTCCGGCCCGTAGCTTTGGCTACGATCTTGGGAAAAGCAATATTTTATGTGCGATATCCACCTCTTTAAACTGATCAACAAAATAATTTCTAAAATATCAATTACATACGGCGAATGGCAACCATTGTACTTATACCATTCCTAACGAAACAAAAATATTCAGATTTGAATGGAGCGAGGAAAATATCGGAACTGATAACTACTGTACAAGAGATGATGAATTTAGCATCCTATGTCAGTTCGAATATCTCGTCAGTCAACTGCACCAAAATGATACCCACATTAGCAGATGCATATTGCAAAGCAACAGGTGATATTTTTATGTAAATTAAAGAAAGTAATATTTAGCAATGCACTTTCGAGTACCACAATCTCATCCAAATTCTTCGCCAGCAAAAGAATCCACCATAATCATACCATGTAATGATTAATGTTTCATGAACTACAGAAGTTCACAAATACTACTTTATGGCGACAACAAAAGATTCAGGCAATTGCGATGAATGGTTTTTTTAAATCAGTATTGATCATAATCGATTCAAATTAATACTTCAAATCAGATTTCACTGATGCGGCTAATGACGAATGCTGGACACAAAAGGACGCTGAAGATTTCAGCAAGCCAACTAATACGATGATAGATGATTCCTGGCCTGTAGTTACAACAGTGAGTATAATAAAAGTTTAAAACCATTTAGTTTTAGGTTATTTTCTCAATTCCGCTGTGAACGAAGATTGTTGAACATGAACTAGGCAGAAAACATTAAAATGGCTCAATGGCATGTCCGTCATGCTGATGCAGAAGGTCCCAGTTTCGATTCCAATTGGGGCCTAATACTGCAAGCCATAGTAACAGCCGAGCAGAGTTGTACACTTAAACTGTGTCGTAGGACCAACCCCAATACAGCTAGACTGCACAATTATATTGTGTATTTTGGCACTTGAAATGGCAGAATCACTTGGTTGACCTAGCATTTGTAACTTTCGTTTTAGTCCATAATAAAAAATGAACATAAAATTAATTACTTCCAATTTCCTTGTCACCTCAAGTGATTTCTTTTATACCAAACAAATATAATTGAATATGATACTTTGTAATTGTTGGAAGCTAAAACAGGACTCTAATTTTTTTAAAAGACGTTCACAAAATAATGGAAATCGCATAAGAATAGATTAAGTAAATTTTGAAATTACGATTATTAATTAAACCATTTTACCTCAGTTAATAGAGGAGAAGCTAATTGAGGCTATGACGAACTCATCCAAGATTATTGTGGCAGCCTGGGATGCTAAGATATACGATGATTTCTTGAAGGTGACCTGTAAAGTTTAATTTTATAAATGTATTTTTTCTGTACTCTACAACCCCGTACAAAAGCCACAAATCCTTAATCAGTAATTATAATCTCTTGTTATAGATAACAATATTATATATTTTTATAATTGAAAGTTTTTGTTATCTTTAAATTAACTATATTTAAATATCAAATTAATAATATATGTAATTAATAAAATATGTTTTATAAATTGTGTTTATAATTATGGCACATTGTTATTATATTTATATTTTAGGCTGTAACCCCATTTAGTCCAATGGAATAAACCTAGCATGCCTTGGTTGCAGCATCGCTTTACTTATAGGTGCATATAGGGCCCGATGTAATTGCTGTGACCAGTTTACTGGGCAACTGGTGTTTCGGTGTCCCTAATTTTGTTTACACTCGGTCACTTGTCAAGGCATGAAAGGTCATTCGGCGAATTTTATTTGAAATAAAATGATGTATTTGTGTAACAGTTTGAAAGTTTATTGATTAAAAAACAGGCAGTGTAGATAAATAACTGTTTACTCGAGGCGTTAACAAGCAAAATAATTCTAAATTGAATTTTTTAAACTAGGGAGAGGCACGATGGAATAAACTTAAGACTACGTTGGAAGAGAGAACAGCTACATATAGAGCAGGTGAGATTGATTTACAATCATATTCATTATTCAATATCCACGTGGGGTCGGGGAAATGTGTTACTCAGTATTGAGTATGCAAACTAAGCCAATTATGATAACGAATATTCATTCACATATTTTCCGATAAAGAAAAAATTCCCAGCATTCGCCCTACAAGTAGCCCAGGCGAAAATAATGGCATCAAGTCAGATGGAAAGTTTCATAACCCAGCAAAAAGTGGGGTTCAAAGATTTCACTCAAGCAATTCAATTTCCTAACTACTTTTTTGGTGAAACCTCGCTCCTTTCAGACGTCAATCAAGTGAGGTAAATCTGTAGATCAGAAGACAAAAGAACAGTTTTAAGACTTTAATTTCATATGGTTAAAATTCTATATTGACTGCTATTATGAAAGATTATCTTTTGGAATCTGGAGGGGTTCTGTAAAAATATTGTTTATATTACGGCAGATTTTCATCTTAGAAACTTCCAAACAACACATGCTAATCATTCTCAGGTACTTCGCATTCATAGTGGTAAACGCCCTGAGTTTAGCGACAGTGTTTGTGGGGGTATTTGCCTGGTGTGTGGGGTGCTGTAACTTCAAGGCAGACCAGAGACCAACCTCCAGAGGAGCCAAGTCACATTATCCGGGTTAGTGAGGGGTTGGTGAGGGGTTGGTGAGGGTTTGGTGAGGGTTGGTGAGGGCTGGTGAGGGTTGGTGAAAGTTGGTGAGGAGTTGGTGAGGGGTTGGTGAGGGTTGGTGAGGGTTGGTGAGGGTTGGTGAGGGTTGGTGAGGGTTGGTGAGGGTTGGTGAGGGTTAGTGAGGGTTGGTGAGGGGTTGGTGAGGGTTGGTGAGGATTGGTGAAAGTTGGTGATGGGTTGGTGAGGGGTTAGTGAGGGGTTGGTGAGGGTTGGTGATGGGTTGGTGAGGGGTTGGTGAGGGTTGTTGAGGGTTAGTGAGGGTTGGTGAGGGTTGGTGAGGGTTGGTGAGGGTTAGTGAGGGGTTGGTGAGGGATTGGTGAGGAGTTGGTGAGGGGTTGGTGAGGGTTGGTGAGGGTTGGTGAGGATTGGTGAGGGTTAGTGAGGGTTGGTGAGGGTTTGGTGAGGCATTCTACTTCTAGCTGGTACCCGCACATAATGTCAAAGTTTATAAATAGCTAACAAATATAAGGAGACAAAGCTGTTTTACGTTAAACTGAATTCTGAGTTTACTTTCGAGAAGGAACCCCGGATTTAACCATTACCCAATGTTGTGAATCCTGCATGTTTGATAAATCTACAATTTAAGCAATTTCAAATTTATTTGCACTAAAAACTAATGATTGATATGACCCAGGTATGATAATCTACTTCTCGTCGTATGCCGCGCTGTTTCTGTCATTATTCTGTATCATGACCGGTGTCATCTACTTTATTCCCACCTCACTCTTCGCTTTCTCTTGTGACGTCTACAAGAAGGCTGATGAAGCGATGCACAGAACGGTATTTTTGATTTTACATTATGGTTCAATTGAACAATAGCAAATTTAGAGTAGCATCCTAAAATAAAGCGTTCATAAATTAATTCTCTTAAATTTCAATTTTTTTTACCCCTCCCCCAGAATGAGGTCTCACTCACTGCGCTGGTATTAAATTCACCTCGTTTTGGATATTGAGGTCATCCAGTACATTTGTAGCGTATTCTCCTTCGCCGCTGCTTGATGGTCAGTCAAATAGCGGATTGATCAAAGGCCTCATTTTAGACAAACTCTCCTCGCCAATTCTGCGGAGCTCATAAGACGATTTCGCGCGTTCGTATTTCGCAACCTTGACATGAACTTGAAGTAGAAGTTATGACAGATCTCAGTCTCCTTTATCTTCCTTCAATCTCTCATGAATTTATTGATCAAAATTTAATTATATGCCGACTCACGAACACAACTGGAAACAAATTAGGAGTTATGACAGATTTCATTTCCTTGCCTTTCCACTTCAATCTCTGAAAATTAGTGTGTCTGCACCGAATCAACAAACTCGATCGTAAAATAAATTTAGAATTAAATGGCTGTAACATAAGGTGGAGGTTTCTGAAGCACAAAACTGAAAAATCGTAAGTGTAGTTAAAGAAAATGCGAGATGGTATGAACTTAAAGAAAAAGGCGATCTTCAGTAAGAAGCATTCGGGATTTCGGGAGTGTCTTCTGTTAATCTGTCATGAACATTGAAGGGTGTCATGTGTGAATTTTTATACATTTTCTACAACGTCATACAATACCTGACCTACTTCAACCCACTTGCAGCACCTTTCGTACAACTGTTCGGCACATTTATCGATAATCAAAAATTAAGCTTAAATCTATTAAGATATTACCAATACTACTTGTATAATTATACATGTTTTACAATAGGTTACTTTTTCAGGTTGTCCAAGAAGATGATCAAAACTTCTTTGTGGTTAGTTTATCTTGGAATTTTCAAACTAGCGTCAAAGAACCTGCAATATTATGCAGAATATGCAGAATATGCAGAATATTCAGAATATGCAGAATATGTAGACCATGCAGAACATGCAGAATATGCAGAATATGCAGAACATTAAGAATATGCCGAATATGTAGAATATGCAGAATATGCCGAATCTGCCGAATATGCAGAATATGCCGAATATGCCGAATATGCAGAATATGCAGAATATGCAGAATATGCAGAATATGCAGAATATGCAGAATATGCAGAATATGCAGAATATGCAGTATGCACATACTATGGCATTAATAACTTTTTGTCGAGATTGAAAATGATATGAAGCGTTTAGAATCGATTTTAAGTTGCTCTGAACCTATTTAAATAGATTAATAAAATTTTCAGTTCTGGGACAAACATCTGGTAGTTGACTACAACATCCTGGCACTTTACACCCACGGACAGAAGAATTTCAACCTGACTTTCAACCAGTTCTTCAGAGCTTGCCTGAGAGACGACGCTCTGTTTGATGCATTAAAACTGGCAGAAATTTGGCCGACAATACCGGACATTTTAGCGGTGAACGAGGTATGACCAGGACAATTAGCCTTCGGTGAATAATTTCAGTTATAAACTACTAAAATAACAAAATTAATTTTATAGAATTTACTTGGTTTAACTGAACTATTTCAGACATTGGATACGGTGTTTCACGTCAACCAGCTCAAATTGGCAAAATTCGACGATCAAATTCTGATGGAGAAAGAGAAAGCAACACTCTGCCAAACACTGCACCAGACTCTAGAGGTACTGCAGTTCACTAACCTGGAAGCGACCTTCAAGAAGGGTAAGACGACCCTGTTTAATGACACACAGGCCAATGTTGAAGCGTGGCAGGCGAATATTGAGAATTGGAACAAGAAAATGAAGAAGAAACTGAAAAAGGAGGATGATTACGTGAGTTACATTTGTCTCCAAAAAGTAAATACATTTTGTGATTAACTATAATAATACTAAGCCGTTCACTTATGTCCATACTAAATATTTGTCCATCATGTATGTTCATGTAGACATGTACGTCCATATTTGTCCAACCTGTTTTGTGTTATCTTAATAGAATTGAATCTCTCATCGGCTTCCAACAACACAATCTGTTGGAATTGCACGATCAGACACATCTAAATTGTTCCAAATACCATTTTACTCTCAGAAAGCATTCAAGGAGCACTGCCTTGAGAAATGGGTGACCAATGAAGATATAATAAAAGACATGGGAGAATGGCAAGAGGAACAGGAAGAAGCAGCTAAGAAGGCGACTTCAAAGAGGAGACGCAAACGGTTCAACTGGGACGATTTCGACTCAGGGGGTGGTGATGATGATGATGGAGGCGGCAGTAATACTGACTATTCTAAACTTGGGATTGGTGCTTTGAGCAAGAAATTCAACACACTTATGGTAAGATTCCATTAATATGTTATGACTGGTAATTGTTTTCTGACATACAGGATGGTCCGGCAATGTTGACCCATTCCCTCATGCTAATAAGCTAATGCATACTAAAGGTATTGGCTATTTACTAACATTTGTTTATTTCAGGCATCATATGACGCCCTATACACGCAACTTAATATCGACATATTAACAGTAAGAGGATAACAAGTTTAATGTTAGGATCTCGGGAGGTGTAATAAAATTATCACGGCAGATATTAGAGCCACTGCAGCTTATGTCAAGATGGAACTAAATAAAGATTGCTGATTGATATTATAGATGTAAAATTTCAACTGATATCAAATTTTATGTTATTTCAATCATGAAGAAGCATAAGAGTATGGCTTATGATTTTTTTCTTTGAGTGCTCATTCTCAAGATTAAGCATGTCAGTTTTTAGCTCCAACATGGAACAGACCACAGACTTATAACATTGAATTTTAATTGATAACAACATGGAATTTCAGTCAAAGATACATTCTCTAAATGCATACAGTAAATGGAGTGTCCTTCAACCATTCTATCTCGAGACCCGGGGTCCTACAATTCTATTGTCGGTAAGTATCATTTATTTTGTTCAATGGATAAACATGATGATAATACTGAATGGAGTTGGGCTAAAAACATAAAAGTGATATGATAGTTTAACTTGTAGAAGCTTTCAATAAACATGTGTTAATCGTCGTCAGCTGAAGGTGATTTGGTGGACAATGCTTATATGTGATGGAGTGGTGTCATGATGATTATATATAAAGGAATTATTTGTAAACCCCTCAGAATATAATGTAATATGAAACCATGAAATAATGTGATTGGTATTTAATATCAAATAAGCATTGCCACCGAAATGATATGGTTGGTATTTAAAGTAAGATTTGAATATTAAGTGGGGGATTGTTTTGTAGTCGCATTGACAATTGAATATGCTTCATGTTTAGTAATGATTGCCTTCTATCAGCGTGACTATTGAACAAATAATGCAACGCCTTAGTTGGAAGGAATGATTTACAAAATGGATTTCTCAGTGTCAAAATATTTGTCACAAAGCTTACTATTTTTAAAAGAAATCGTAAGCATAAAACATATTTAAAATAGAAATACATACTTCAGACGATAATAGAATACGGAAATATAATCCTGACAGAGATAGACTGCTTTGTGATAACAGCTTCAAAGCAGATTGAGCACCAAATGGGACAGTGCCGCACTATCTATGATGTGTTGGACGGAACTATGACATACTTCTGTAACTTCTTGGTCGGCCCAATGGTGAGAACTGGAGTTATTGTTGTGCCGTATGCACGTAGTTTATGTCCGGTACAAGTTGGTTTTACACATGACAGCGATCCGTGGTTTTGATAGATCGATTATTTGGCCGATCGAATGTGAAAAATTAAAAACCAATTGTAGTTCAAGCAGTGCAGGGTAAACTTTGCAATTCTTAAACAAACTTTACTTAAAATCACGAGTTTTATCACTGTAATCGAGGTAAGTGACCTGGCAACCACACTAAGTGACCACTGACCTAGCAACCACACTGATCTAACACCCCCTCTTTACAGACCATCACCTGGATCTCCTTCCTACTAGGTGGAATAGCTCTCAGTCTCTATATCCAGGCTGCTCGGGCTGTCTCCATGTACTTCCTGAGGATGGACGCTGTACATCCGGGGGACATCTCACAAGAGGAGAAAGTTGCCGCTATGAAGGGGGACGGATAGACTCTCTGAAAGAGTACATCCAAATATTTCTGGTATGTTATAGGTAATAGGTTAGATAATACTTTTTACAAAACGCGAAAATATACTGGCCAAAAGTATATCAGGTTTCCAATACATTGGAATAATTTACAAGTTGGAATATGATGCCGTATACTACTAGTAGGTACTAAGGATAAGGTTTCAAGCTCCACAGTCCACAGTCAGGTATCAATTTTTACCGGGTAACAGTCCAGTGTTTCTCGTGGTATCGCTTGCTGTTTGCTTTATTACTGTCATACATTTTTAAATGGTTGCAGAAAACAGCTGTTCGTTTGATGTCAATACCGTTTCTTCTGACTACGCTTTTAAGTGTCTGTCCACTCAGAAAATACGTAAGTTGACGTCGAGTGACGCATACTACAAAGAGGATTTGTTTACGGCTATTTATGGGCCTAAGACAGTTGACGTGTATTAAACTATAAAAATTGAAGATACCCAAAATCTGCCTTACCCCTATAATAATTTACAGGGGTAGAGCAGATTGTAGGGATCTCCAATTTTTCATACAGGAAATATAGATATGATCAAGAATCAATAGTTCCCACAGTCAGACAACGAATGAGTTTAAAAATTCCAACAAAATCTTTATAACATCATTGGTAAAACATTTTCGGACATCTTCAGTACCTAATAAAGATAAGGGTTAATACTCCAATTATATCAGAAAATTATAATTTGAACTAAAGGATGTTAGCTGTAAAAAGAAGCCAAACTCTCAAAAATGGAATGGGAAGCACTCGGGTATGGGGGGTTGTGAGGCCCCAACTAGTCGGAAAAATATACTAGTCCCTGCATTAAGGGTGAAATAATTTAAGGACCATTATTAAAAGTTTTATTTTCAAATAAAAGTGGCTTACCAAAAGGATCACATGAATTAATACCATGTGGTTTCAAAGTTCTGAGTTTTTGTATAAGTAGATGTTCGTTAACTTCTAAATTACTAGGACTAGAATTCTTTAGGATAAAAACATTATAAGAAGCATCAAAATCAGAGAAAATATAGATATGTAATGGTCATAATTAGCTGCACAGGTAGAAGAACCTATGAAACATTAACGATATGTAACTGGCAAGTCATATCACACAGTCGGCTTTATAATGTTTTTCATTTGTAATGTTCTTGAGAACCGCTTAAGACACTTCTTTTTTATTAAATACTTTTCAAATCTTGAACAACTTAAAGGCGTTTGGTCACAGTACGGACCTTCACCTATAGTACGCCGGTAAAACTGTTACTTGAGGTAATCTGAACTGCTCTATTTCAATTGTTATTTCCCTATCCACTGATGCATAAGAGTATGTGAAGGGCCACAAACGTAAATCAGTGCTCCACGCTATAATATAGAACCTGGTCGTTATCCGTTGGAATCCGATGAAATTGGAAATGTTGATTTTATAGTAAGCTGATACAGTCCCAATATAAATGAAATGAATCTAGTGCGTGGTCACACAGCTTGAATCTGGATGTCCTATTAAAATGGTAACTTAACGAAGTTACTATCTAACATGATCTCTTGACTGTACCAGAAAACATGGCATTTGCAAACATCCCATCAGTTCTATCTTGGAGTCTTGATCGGTCCACGACGATTCTAACAGGGTTAACATACTTTACAGCTTTGTATGAAGACGTGGGTGGTAGGTTTGAATGGCAGGACCAGGTCCAGGGATAATGTGATTATCTCATTGAAGCATGTCATGACAAGCTCCTACGAGACAGTGGATCAGCTCGTGTGAGATCCTGTGACATTTTACTGACACAACATCTTATTTCTTTAATTAAGACACCAAATCCTACTTGTTATCAAACTAATTGTTTTGTAGATCAATATTTTGTAGATCAATATTAGGTGGCTGTAGAAAGTTTCATTTTCCAGATGAAAAAGATGTATTATGCTTACATAAGTACAGCCTTCAAGCTGATGTGTCGCATTGTGATAAACTAAAATAGTACCGTCTAGTTGCTGTTAAAGTGTTAAGACAGAGAATAGCACTCCGATACTTAGAAAGTACCTAAAAAATAAAAACTAAATATTATCTTTATAGGGTATAGGTATTTGGCCCTGAAGTGGGTTGGATGATCTGTGTAGTAGCAAGATATGGGGTTGTTTTGTAGTATGTAACACTAACTCTAGGGATATGTTAGCTTCTCTGCGAATTCCATTTTCATATGGACGTAAAGAGCTTGTCTGTCAAATCATTTAGTCAGAATCCTGACATTATGAAATTGCAAGCTAAGTAGTTAAGTTATCATAACAAAAGCTTTTAGTGGATTTTCAAGAGAGAGAACTATTATGTTTCAAACGTCACTCGAACAGTCGAACCAATTCTTTACGCAGACTATATAACTAATCCCCACTTCAACAGTGCCTTTACGCAGACTATATAACTAATCCCCACTTCAACAGTGCCTTTACGCAGACTATATATAGTCTATATAACTAATCCCCACTTCAACAGTGCCTTTACGCAGACTATATATAGTCTATATAACTAATCCCCACTTCAACAGTGCCTTTACGCAGACTATATATAGTCTATATAACTAATCCCCACTTCAACAGTGCCTTTACGCAGACTATATAACTAATCCCCACTTCAACAGTGCCTTTACGCAGACTATATATAGTCTATATAACTAATCCCCACTTCAACAGTGCCTTTACGCAGACTATATATAGTCTATATAACTAATCCCCACTTCAACAGTGCCTTTACGCAGACTATATAACTAATCCCCACTTCAACAGTGCCTTTACGCAGACTATATAACTAATCCCCACTTCAACAGTGCCTTTACGCAGACTATATAACTAATCCCCACTTCAACAGTTACGCAGACTATATAACTAATCCCCACTTCAACAGTGCCTTTACGCAGACTATATAACTAATCCCCACTTCAACAGTGCCTTTACGCAGACTATATATAGTCTATATAACTAATCCCCACTTCAACAGTGCCTTTACGCAGACTATATAACTAATCCCCACTTCAACAGTGCCTTTACGCAGACTATATAACTAATCCCCACTTCAACAGTGCCTTTACGCAGACTATATAACTAATCCCCACTTCAACAGTTACGCAGACTATATAACTAATCCCCACTTCAACAGTGCCTTTACGCAGACTATATAACTAATCCCCACTTCAACAGTTACGCAGACTATATAACTAATCCCCACTTCAACAGTTACGCAGACTATATAACTAATCCCCACTTCAACAGTGCCTTTACGCAGACTATATAACTAATCCCCACTTCAACAGTGCCTTTACGCAGACTATATAACTAATCCCCACTTCAACAGTTACGCAGACTATATAACTAATCCCCACTTCAACAGTGCCTTTACGCAGACTATATAACTAATCCCCACTTCAACAGTGCCTTTACGCAGACTATATAACTAATCCCCACTTCAACAGTTACGCAGACTATATAACTAATCCCCACTTCAACAGTGCCTTTACGCAGACTATATAACTAATCCCCACTTCAACAGTGCCTTTACGCAGACTATATAACTAATCCCCACTTCAACAGTTACGCAGACTATATAACTAATCCCCACTTCAACAGTGCCTTTACGCAGACTATATAACTAATCCCCACTTCAACAGTGCCTTTACGCAGACTATATAACTAATCCCCACTTCAACAGTTACGCAGACTATATAACTAATCCCCACTTCAACAGTGCCTTTACGCAGACTATATAACTAATCCCCACTTCAACAGTGCCGAACATTCTCCTTGGACTAATTATCCTGGTGACAGTAGTACTGCTGGCTGCTATAGTTTACGCTAAGAAACCAGCAGAAACACCCTCTGAGGAAACGGAAAACGCTGACCGCTCCCACTTTTCTAAAATCAGGACTACCGTCTCCATGTGGAGGGACTGAAAAAACAAGGAACTGATTTGTTGAGTGTGTATCTCTGAATTATTATTCTGATTATTGTTTTAATGGACATGTATGTTCCTCACGGATTGGTTATGTTATATATTGTTTTTCAGTATTTGGGCGAGAAACGAGACAATAGACATCGTGTGATTTTAAACTTTCTGTTTCATTGATTTTAAACTTTCAGTTAGCTACTAGATTGTTGATTAATGTTGATCATGGCAACACTCAGGAGATAGGATTTGAGAGCTTTGCGTTTGAGGAAAGAATTAATTGGATATAACAGAATATTCGAATCGTCAGTATAGTTGGCGAGAAACGGAGGTCGTGTTCATTAAATCACAAAAAACTGTCAAAATAATGTTGAAGAACTTCAGTTATTGCTTAACGATCCTTTTAAAAGTGTCTAGATATGCCCTGATCACACAAGGAAGGAGACATCTAGCAACAGGATCAGTATTCATAGAGGGAGTTAATTTATATTCTGAAATCTGAACAATGCATTAAACATGGGAGTTGTTATTGAGTCTCACATTCAACAGAAAAGATAGTTGTGATTTTGAGAAAGTTGTTTATTTCCCATTACTGTATTGTTCCAAATATAAATTAACTTTTCCAATAAAAACTTCCTGTTGCTAGATGCGCGGCCTTCCTTCTTTCTTTGTAGGATCAGGGCATATGTAGACAGTTTTAAAAGGATCGTTAAGCAATAAATTTCTGGGAAAGTTGACAACGGAAGTTGGCAGGAGAATACCATTAATGTTCAATCCAACGTTGCCACCCATAAAGGTTGATTAAATGTGTGGCTCGCATTTGAGTTTAATATTTTATGGTGAGTTAATTGCCATGTCTATAACTTGAATATATTGTTTGGATTTGAGGGAATAACGAAGCGCTTCGTGTGCAATCCAATATTTTAATCGATTGATTATAAGACCATTAAATTTGAACAATAAAGATATAACTGTCAATGAGGTGACGCCGATGAACTGAAATTGTCTGTCAGATAAGTTGGATAATCTTCTTTTGATCATGATTTATTAAGTTTGACGACACAAAGTTTATTAAAACTTGATCGTGCACCAGCCGTAACCTACAGCTACGTAACCGTGACTTATAAAAAAAACTGTGGATCAGAACATCGCATTTTGAATTCATCACTATTTAACAAAAGCAAATGATAATTTAAACTTCACGATAGGCATTGAATGAGGTAATAACTGTCATATTCATAATTAGCGCAGTCAGGTAGAGTAACCAGAATCTTATAATCAAATAATCAAATAACCAGGTAACGCCCGGAGAATATGAAATTGCCTTGTCAAATTGAAATTTATATGGCCTCATGAATTCGAGGCACTATGACAGTTGATAGGGTAACTTTCATAGATATGGATGAACCGTAGCATATTTTGAAAATATAGCACCAGCTTGTAACAAAAGTTTGTGTTCATTTTCTTGTTCAAACAAAGCTGCATCTCTCACTGCTAACTAAAGTTATTATCTAACGTATCTAAGTTATGAAAAGTTTGAAACAATCAACAATTCCACCCTCGACTTATTCTCCAACAGAAGTCAAACCTGTGAGTTCTGAATGACATCATTATTTTTCTGTCAATTTCGGGCTCATAAACACTAATTTAACAGTAATGGCCAATGAAAAATGGTCCGGTAGGAACAATTTATAAAAAGAGATAACATAGGAATAACGTACGGATGTTAAATTTTAAAATTATTCGCAGAAATAAAAACTAAGTTTTGTCTTTCGAAGTGATAAAGCCCAAGAGATTAGCGAAAGATTTTGAGGAAAGTGAACCAGTTCTGTCTCTTTTCGAGGAGCTGCTGTCATGTTCTTGAGATGATGAAGATCCTGTTCGAAGTTTTTTAGACGGTCCCGGACTCAGCAAATTAGACACAGACTTTGAAAAATTTGTTTTGGGTCTATCAACTTCAAGTTTATTCAGGGATAATTGAGTTTTAAACTGGAACAACGAGTCAGACCCTGTTGTTGCAATTGTAGAATCTGACGAATTCTGGTAAGAAGACAGTTCATCTTCATGGATTGTAAAAGCTTTTTTACTTCTAATGTTCTTTTTGAACCCACCCTGTCGTGCACGTCTCGGAATCACCTTTCCTACAGTGTATTTTTGTTGAGTAGCTAATTTGATCGGATATGGTGGAACCTCCAGTGGTTTGATGATCTGGGTAGTAGGACAGAAGGGGAGACCTACACAATCAAATGAGTGCCACCTTTTAAGTCCAACTTCGCATTCTACGTCAAATGCAAACATAGAATACAGCCTTGGTTGGCTATTCATCCTGTTCATTTCAATGTCCTTCAAGTCGAACAAGTAGCCTGAAAATCGGTAGTAATTGTGCTTAAGAATCATATTTAGCTTCCGTTTGGATGGTTGGATAGGTTTTGGAGGGGTGCTTTTATTTTTACGATGTTTTCCCTTACTTGATCCCTGCCTCTCTGACGATGAGTGGCGTTTGGCTAGCACTGGTGACCACAGGAATTTTAGAGCCTTTGAAGAAATCGTCTTAGTAGGGGATAAAGTGGGCGACAAATTAGGAGATAAAGTGGGTGACAAAATGGGAGATAAAGTGGGTGACATGGGCCAGCTCTTATCTTCATTGTTATCTTCAATTTTTATACTCAACTTAGCTCTCCGATTAAGACTTTTAGTATACATGTCTTGACGGTTAGACGGTGGATTTCTTAAGCTCACAGGAATTAGTGGGTCTTGTCTCAGGTCTTGTATTCGTTGTTTCACCGCTGAACTCTCGCGGAGCTTGTCCAAACTTTCATGTCTGGGCCTTGGTGGTAAGGTTTCAATACTGCTTGACATTCTCACTGCTAACTCATTCCTTGCTAAGTTTATTCTGGACGTTGAAATATCTTTGCTACGCTCTTTAATCTCCACGCTGTTATTTCCACTGTTAAGGTTTTCTTCGTGGGCTTTCTTAAACGTTTTTGATAATTTGTCAGGTAAAGGAGGTGGACTAAATCGAAGACTAATCTGACTGACAGCTGTCGCAGGATCCTTAACTTTGTATTTAAAACGTTTCGGTGGAATTGGAGGAGGTGTAAGAGATTTATCAGGTTTAAGTGGTGTAGGTGCTTTAGGTGGTAAAGACATTTTATTATTCTGAGAACGGCTGGACTGAGAAAATACGAAATGTTGAGGTAAGGTAAGGGTAGAAGTGGTGGTTGTGCGACTTTGGTATTTCCGGTCCGTTAATGCGGGTTTCACTGGGTGTGTTGTGTGATGATCTTGACGATTAGTATGTGTGATCGGGTCATCTTTGTTCATTGTCGATCTGTATAAGTCGATCCAGTTTTAGACTTGTCGATCCAGTTTTAGACTTGTCGCTATTATCTATAAATTAAAGAATGTTAATGAAATAATGTTTTCATCACCGATTTACTCTTGTATGTACGTACAGTATGTCTCAAAAAACCGAATATAATTTAAGGTCAAATAAAATAAATATGTTAAAAGATCTACTAAATTATGGCGACCAGAAACCAGGCTTTATCTATAATAACGGACGTAAAGATAATATTTAACTTCAGGTTTAGGTATACCCAATACCCACGCGGTAGAGTTATACTAAACCTGGACTGAATCAATTAACAAGAAAAGTTTCGAATTTACGTGGTTTACACTACACACTTCACAGTTACATTTATATGCTTGTACTCTGTACCACTCGGCACAACTATATTTAACTAACTGCTGTAGTATTTGCTAGACATCTTCAATCATTCAAAAAATGCAGTTTCTCTTGAGATATCACATTATGATTTATGACAGCAAATCAGATTTGACAGCTGTTGGCTGATCTTAAAATATCTAAAATTTAATTGGTATTGGAGCTCTCAGATAACTTAGTCCATGAACGCTTCAATAAGTTATTAATATTTATAAGTATAACCTACTGTTACGCTCCAATCATATTTTAGGCTTATAAACCAACAACCTAACCATGATTATGAACATGCATCATTTTTAAATGGTTAATGTATTTACCTCCGCGATGACATGACATCCTTGAAACCCACCCTTTTCGATAAGTATAAGTATTTGAAGTAAAGTGGGATATTGATGTAATATATAAATATAAACCGATTTAATCATACGTCAATTTGTGATGCAGCTGCAGGTTGGAGTACTCATGATTGAGGTAATACTTGACGCACGTGAAACAGTTACTAATCACCCGACGACCGACGTAGTCAGCATTAGTCTGAGCCTATAATCTCGTCAATTTAGCTAACTCTAAGATTAAGAACATACCCCGTCATAGTCCACAACTGCAATTTGCACGTGGCTCACGAATGGCAGCTGAAACACCATGCTTAGTAACCACGCAGTGGTGGAAACCGCTTATAACAGGTTTACAGGTGGTAGAGACGGTGCGGCCATTAAATGTCGCGCGTCATAATTTACTAAATTGATGATCGGCGTGCTTAAGACGTGTTTTACTACTAAGATTGAGGGTCAGATCATTAAGATTATATTCTGAAAATAGCGTCTGCACCCTCCCCACCCCCTCATTACTTAGCTCGTGGCGGGGAATTAGATAAAATTCTTCCATGAGATGGTAACACCGGGGGGAGCCTGATTGGCTGAGCTGGTCCTTACATGCTTACTATTGGTGCCTCTGTCAAACGAACCACGGCTAACTTACTAACTATCGTCCCTATTACAATTTAATTACAACCCCTTTACTTTTGTACATAAGGGCAAAGAAAGTCGGGAGCAGCAAAGTCTCGGACCTCATGCAATCCTGCGGCCAGCTCGTCGAGGAATTAGTGCAGTTTTCAAGTGATGGGCGACGCCTCTATGCTTCTATGATGACCCCATGAGATTTCAAAACCAATTTTCTCATAATATCTCGTTGTAATGCCGTGTTGTATTTATATTCCCATGGCTCATATGACTAGCTTAATGTTAAATCAAATCTTACATTCAGTTTTTTAGAACGTTTCTATTACGTTCCTATCAGCATGTTGCAGGTTTCCTTACTCGTTTCACGTTTATTTTTAAACTCAGGGCCATCCTAGATTTCGGACTAATCTCTGCCCAACTTCGATGTATCAACGTAGTTGCGGTGTGTTCAAATTGTGTGATGCATAATGTTACTGTATTTTCTCTATCATTAGATGTCCCATAGGCTCGACCAATATATTTGATTAAAATAGGGGCCTTCGAAACACGTAGATATAAGTATCACAATCAGTCCATGAAGGAAACAGGTTGAAATAATTTAAATGCAACAAGAAGTAATTAAATTGGTAAAGGCTGAAGTTATATTCATTGTTTATTTTTGTAAAAGCATAACAACGTTGTAACCAGCCACAGTTGATTGCAGTGCTATATTGGTACTTTCTAAAAATAGATTATTTGAATAGGTCTTGTAGAAAGAAGATGGCTGCTACCTCAACAATATTATTGTAAGTACATTAACCACTTCCAAAATCTTTTCATTGACCTTAAAACCCCTAAACTAAGCAGGTTTAAGTTTATTGTATTGTGAATATATCGAAATTTGGGTCATTTCGAAAAAACATACTAATATTTTCCGACCAACATCATTTTCCGGTCAAATGATAGCTATGATTATATAATAAACGCGACAGGAATTATTGGATTAAACATTATTTGTCGTAAGCGTTAATTCGGGAGTGCCTTCTTACGATAAAACCTCGATCAGACTACCTCTAATTCCAGCGATTTATCGGGCGCATCTTTTTCCTGATCCACGTAATTGACGTAAATCTACATTAGCTGTATACGTAAACCAAATTTATTATTACGTTAGAAGTTGTTAGAAGTAAAGTTGTTTACTAATATGAGTAGGTTTGTGACAGTGCGATTGTCTGAGCATATGTATGGCTTGATTGTATATGGCTTGATTGAAAATAACAAATGAAAGTAAATACGTAACTTCTGAACTGTGTGATGTACAGGGTGAAGCTTACTTGTGTGAACTTTATGAGTTTTAAACAAGGTAGACAAATCAGATAACTCTCCTTGTAGCCTGGCGGCTGCTCCGCCAGCAAATGCCTGTTGAAATCACCATAGAGTTGCAAACTGGCGGTTTGTTTATAGATTGGATGCAATGAAAAATATAAATAATCAATGCTGAGAATAAAAATTGAAATGTTACAATCGTGTTCCAACTTAGAAATCCAATATTATTATTATTCAGTCATATCCTCTTCTAATTTTGAGTCTATTCAAAAACAAAAAGTTAATGTTAGGTTTGAAATTTGTTTTTTCAGAAATTAGAAATCTCCTTTATTCGTACCACGCATTTTTGATCTCCAATCAACAAAATTATAAATATGTCTTTTAAGGTACGCCCGAAACAACTTCCATGCGAACGAACTCCAGATGTTGAGAGCCTGTGCACCTGACCACTAACGTATTATTAGATATGACACTGTTAACAGTTATGAAGCTGTTGAGCTTCTATCTACAGCTGACAGCACCATTCTTTACCTGTAGCATGTTTCCTCTCTGTTATAATACTGACAGATGGTAATTAAGTCGGGGACACTTCATGATCCCTTTAACCCGACTATATTGCTACCTTGTTTAATGAGCTATGAAAATTGAATGCTGGTAATAAAATTAAAATTACGTAACTTTTCAGGAAAGTTCTGCTTGGCACCATCCTGTTAATATCTTTTGTAGATGCCATTGCCTTGGGTAAGATCAGGGTATTGTTTTGCAAGGTTACAATTCTTGTGTGGCTGTGTGCATATTTTCTGTGCGTATGTGTCTCACAGAGTCACAGTAAGAATTTAATTGTGCATTTAATCATCGTACCTAAAGTGACATGATAAATTATATGAACTCAGTTAAGCGTGATAGTGACAAGTGTGATTTAGGTTTATTTATTTTTATTGTTATTATATTAATGAAATCTATTATATTAATCATTTGTGTTATTGAACTTGCAGGTAACCGTGAACCGTGGAACCTCTGGAGTTACGGGGGACGAGAACTGAAGAAACGTTCTACAGAAGTAGAAGTAGAAAAGGAGCTGACTGAGCTGGAGGTGAGAGGAAAGAAGAAGAATAAACCATTGTTGTCAATACAAACCCAGGACGGTGGCATGATTTACGCTACTAACACCAGGAAGGTGGATGTTACTGATGCTGTTGCTCTGGATGTAAGTTACTTTTTTTTCAGCTTTAACCATGGTTATTAAACCTATGAGCAATTTTAGAGCTAGAAAATCTCGGTGTCCCAGCATCGTTATAAACTAAATATGCCCTACCTCATAACTTACTTAGATGAGACAATTTTTGTGGAACCCTGCAGTATAAAAAACATTTAAAATTATGAGATATTTACACGACATATTTCAACCATCTTACAATATCTGATAAGAGAATTGTTCAGTTCAATGTACTCGACCACAGGAAGAAGCGACATATAAAATAAACCATCTTCTAATTTTACATATTTTCGTTAGTATTGAACCCGATATCTCCAGGTGATCTGTGGGAGGTGGGAGGTGTGTTCTAAAATGGCGGATGGTGAGAACTCCTGTATTGACATTGACTCTATCTGTCCGTGCAGAAAAGAGGGCTCCACCATGCAACCCACACCAATCAACAAAGTCAAGCTCATTAAAAAGAGGGATTGCGATTAAGATGACATTTAGATTTAGAAGAAGATCGTGGATCTTGTATTTTGTAGAATGACCTTACTTTTTTCTGGATATTATGCTGATCTGTTATCTTTTCTTAAATTTTCTTAAATTTGACTCCTTTAAAAATTGAATTACTTTAATTTGTCATGCAAAACCATATAATGTTCACGATATTTCTTCAAATTGCATCCAATCATGACCAATGGCAATGTTAATTGTAAATTGATCTCAAAATCTCCAAAAATAGTTTTCATTTAAAAACTTATATACCTCAAGCTTCAATACCTCATTAAAATAATCTACCTTACGAGACATATTTAGATGGTACGAAAGTCGGTGGTTTTTCGAGAAAAAAAAACTTATTTTTGGACTACCAAAATGTAGGTCACCTTCATTATTTTACCCAAATTACTTTCCACGTATTTTCGTTAATTATGACTTTATCGATTTCCTATCAATATAGTAAGTTATAAATATGATTCACCAAACAAATGAACACTAGTGTTCGATCATGAATTGCTTTAAAAATGATTTTGGACATGTTCCACTATGATTAAAAGTAAGCAAGCTCTGTCACTACTAAATTGGCGGTGAAATTTCGGGAGTAGTGGAAGATTACAGACACCGTCGGTTTCCTATACCGTTTGGAGGATTAGAAGTTAAGTTGAGGCTAGGCTAACTTTCAAAGGCTCCGGAGAAATTGTTTATAAGATGAAACGGCTAATCAGAGAAGATCTTTGTATTTAATTTTTCAAATATTGGGTTTCATTTTTGTAAAATAAGGTGATGAATAAAATCCCCAAATACCATGTTTCAATTTGGGGTACGAAATGTGGCGGTTTTCGGAAAAAATTCCCATATTTTCGTTCCCAAATCATTTAGGTCACCGGAATTATGTCGAACATAAATATGTCTCTTAAGGTAATAATGACAACATCCCTTATTCCACACACTCCCCTCCTCGTAACTAGACTTCCTTTAATTTATTTCTTCGTTTCAGTGATTAATTAGATCCACTTATAAGTTGTTAGATAGTTCATAATAGTTTTTTGATTAATAGATAGGCTATATAAGATTCAGATAGTTACAAGAAGCTATTAAATAGTTCATAATACTGATGGTTTCTTGATTAGTAGAAAGGCCATATAAACGATTCAGATAGTTGCAAGAAGTTTCTGGGAAGTCGATTATGATGATTAAGTCACAGGATGTGTCCTTCCTTCGCTGCTCTCGTCGCTGTAAAACCTGTGCTGATATGGTGTTTTGTACGGACTTTAGGTCATCTGTATCTGGGACTAAATTTGACTGCATGTTTGAGTTTGATGTTGGAGAAAGCAGGTCACTCAATTCACTTATTTGGGTGCCAAAATTACATCGGATGGCAAGATCGATAAAGAAATAAGTGTCAGGATTGGAAAAGCAACCGGAGCTTTTAACCAACTCAATAACATTTGGAAGAATAAGAACATAAGCATTAACAACAAAGTGCGAATCTACATCGCAGCTGTTCTTACCATTCTGACCTATGGAAGTGAGATATGGAACACGACTCAAGTGCAGACAAGAAGATTAGAGTCTTTCCATCAGTACTGCTTACGCAGAATCCTGAGAGTGAGGTGGTTCCATCGAGTAAGAAATGAAGATGTTTTAAGAAGGGCTTCAATAACTGCTCTTACTGACATAATAGCAACAAAACGGCTACGTTGGTTTGGACATGTCAGTAGAATGCCTGAAGATCGGTTACCTAACTATCTACTTGAATGGAAACCCAAGCATGGGAAACGATCAAGAGGCAGGCCTAGGAAGAGCTTAAATGATGTATTTATTGAAGATGCTGAGCAGAGATTGGATCGTAATGGACTCACGATTGATTGTATGAGAAGATTGGCTGCAGATCGAAAAGGATGGAGAAATATTACCCGCCGAAGTTGTATAATACAAAGTAATGACGCAGATGACGCAGACTAATCCTTTTGGATGGAGATCTCGCCATGTAACATGTATGTATGTTGGAGAAGAAAAAGTTATTAATTGTAAAAGTACTAATGTTATTTATCTTTTGAGCTGTAAATGTTCGGGAGATTACGCGGGAGATCTATTAGTTTAATTATTGGGTCAGTTCGTTTTATGACGTGTCGACTACGTTTCGGTATACTTTATCCCTACCGTTTTATTACATTTTCTTTATTTACCTATTACTATACATATTTAATCTTAAATTATCATTTTAGTGGAACTATGTAAAAGGGGATCGTTGCTAGCGTCGAGATTGTCTTAACCCTGCCTTAGTCAGTTGAAAGTCTGATAGCATATGTTCCGTTTGATTTGACCAAACTAATGCCTTTCATTGCTTTATACCTACACTTATCCTCCATTCCCACGCTCATCGTCGTATTCTAAACTACTTCCTGAGATGCACGTCTTCATATTGTTCAGCTTCGGTTATTCATTTCATCAGCGTTAGGCTGTTAAATGGTGCATAACCTGACAAAATTTAACTGCAGAACTTTGACATGTCGCTATTTATTTCCATGGAGATATTAGAATTTAATATTACCAAATAAAACTTCAGATATTAACGATAAAATTGGATAAATATCCAATCCCTTTAATTCAATGACATCCATTTTAAATTCGCATGAAATATAATGATATAAAACTACTTTAACTTATAAGGCCGTAGTATCTAAATCGACAAAACGTGAAACGTATAGTGCTGGTAAACGAAAAATGTGTTTAATTTTAACTCTGTTTAATACGACCTGTTTAAATCATGAAGTCATGATGGATACAGGATAGCATATATCAATGTTCACCGGACATCTCACACCCAATCTGCTTTAACTAAACACTTTTCACGGTTAATTCATGATTCGATATTTAACAGAAATGTTCAGAAAAGTGTGGCAAACTAAACACCTTACAAGTCTTACAAATTATAACGTCTCATTCAGGGACCTCACATATGGCGGATAATGGAGACATCTTGATAGTAACCACTGACATTCTCGGTGTGACCACCTCCTTCACCACGCCAATCTTATGTATCCGGACTTTTCGATCCCACCGGACACTCAGCGCAGTTTCCTTGACTGCCAGGTTACTGTTCACATGGTTCCGGATCCTATCTTGAATCTCTTTATTCTGCAAGTTTGTCTGAATAGCACGGTCCATGTCCGGGTTGACAAAGCTCAAAAGTCTCACTTGTCTCTTCTTTAACTGAACCAGGAAATGTCTGAATCCCGAACTCCTGGTTATAAAGACCAAAATGGTAAGGGATGATCGGAGGTGGATGAAGAGGGTGAGGAAGATGTAAAACATCTTCACTTTGGTAAAATGATAAGTAGTTTCGTCCTCAATCCTCGGCTTCAACTGCAGGTAGTAGACAAATGAAGCGATCACGTAGGGGACAGTGGTTAGGAGGAAGGCGGCACTGTAGAAGAGAATTGTAAAATAAGAATGAACCAGCTTAGTGTTTATACTTCCTGAAGTCTTTTGTCTGAGATAGTGGATAATTGTTGTCACGGCAACTGCTAAGATGAGCAGGCATGGGAGCAGGAAGGGTATGATTTGAAAGAAAGTCAGATTGAAATGGGTTGATGAAATGTTCATGGAGGTCTCACGGATAGCTGGAACACAAGAGAATATGAGCTCAGAGCAGGAAAAGTGTCTCATGGAATATGGAATAGCCTGTGATAAGGAGACCCCCACAGTAAAGGCAGTTACCCAGCAAATAACTCTCTTCCTGCTTGCCTTGAAAAAGGGCCGGACGATCACCAAGAGGCGAACCACACTCAGTACACAAAAGACAGCAGCAGAGAATCTAGAAGATATACCCAAGACGACAGCGTTTCCGACCCTGATACTATCCATCCAGGTCCAGGAGAGATTGCCTTTAGCAGCAGTAGCCATGTTACTGTCCGAGGTGATGACGAGGTGCAGGGTAGAGTTGGGGTGCCGCTGGAACCGGTAAATCTCAAAGCAGGCAAAGATGCCAGTGGTTGATGAGATGAGGTCTCCCAACAAAAGGAGGAGGTAGAGAAGAGTTGAGCAGCTCTTCCTGCTCTTCTGTAGGAAGTAGAGAATCAGGATCAACTCTCCCAGTACGTTTAGTAGCACGATGAAGAGAGTTGATGAGCTGAGTGATCTTATATGCAGAGGTTCTCCGCTTTGAGGAGGGATGAGTCCCGTTAGGGTTACGCTCATGTTTTTGCTTTTATCCTTGCTACTGTGAGTAAGATAGATTTTTAGAAAATAATCGTTAAATTTCATAAATGTGACTTTAATAGTGACTTAAATATATAAAAATTGGCAAAATTATGCATAATACTTCATCGAACAACGCTTACATAATGAGTTTAATATTTCCCGGTTGAAATTAAGTTAAATCACCGCTTGAAATGAACACTAAATAAGGGTTAAAAATGTGAAGTAAATATCTGTCTCCTACGAGTAAGACAGGCGTTAAAATCACGAAATAGATAAACTAGATATAAATAAACTCTTATAAATCACACACACTTTTTCAGAATTATCTCGATTAGCTCTTGCAGAATAAAAATTAAGAGCACGAACTAATTTAATTTCACAGCTATGGCAATAACAAATCTCAATTTATGATATGGCATTAAAGGCAGTTAATGTGACATAATCTTGATCAAGAGCAAGAAAAGGGGCTCACGCGTGACTCACGCATGAGATCAGAGAGAGAGAGAGAGAGAGAGAGGGAGAGAGGGAGAGAGATCAACTTCAATTTGCTGTGGGAGCATACTAAACTAAAGTTATGATTTTCAGAGCAGTCCATGCACTTCGTATAAGTTCGATGGGAGGATTACAATAAACTAAAGTTTACATTCGAGGAAAATTATCCATTTTAATTTGGAGGATGTATTATATAGTTCTAACTTTAATTATTAAACGCAGCTAGATGGTAACAAGAGGGACACTGTGTGACACAAAATATTGCTCAATATGGTCTGGTAAAGATCAGTGCTGCAATATCATAACAGACAAATGTCATAACAGAATCGTTCGACTGCAAAATACTTGCCCTTTTAAAAATGCCCTTTAACCGTTGAAATGGAGGTCAAAGCTTAGATTGGGTGATCTTAGTCTTCGTATTTGCTAAACTGCCGTATAATTCATATGTCCCGCAATGGAAGTGGCCAGTAATGCTATAATTTTGAACATCTTATTCCC